TAACATTCATGAATTTGTATTAATGAGTTTATTGGCCCATGATATCATATTGAGAACCTAAGGTATCTGAGTATTGTGAGGTTGTGCACTATGCTGTCACCACAGCTCATATAAATGCACCGAAGTGCCGCGTAGAATTGCACCGTAGTGCCATATAATGATGTCCATAAGGACCACATAGAATTACTTAAGAATCATATACATATGCTAGGGATCATATATGTGTCTCACCAGACTTCACACATGTTCCAAAGAATATATATATATATCCCGAAAGACCGCGTAGAATATTGTCCCGAAGGACCGCGTAGACCCTCTACTCTTGGCATGCCAACTATACCCCTAGCTCTCAAGAAACATAACATGGGCATTTTTCTTTTATACTTATCATTTCACATAACACATAGTTCAATTACTCATAGAACATTTTCATAAGAGTCACATTTACATGTCACATAGCTTATATACTTTCTCACGTAGTTACATAGATCCATATCATATAACATATATCCCAAAGTGCACATAATCACACATATCATATCATATAGCTTAGATCATTTCTCAGATATTCATATAAACATACATATCATATCTTGTTCACATATGATCATATATGCTTCATTTAACACATAGAACACTTTCTCCTAGCTTATATCAATTTTCAGAGTTCTTTCATATTACCTGATGACATATATCATATAGATATATAATAACGGATATCATATTATCTACCTTATGCTCTATTTCTTTGTATTCCCATAGATTATAAATTATGATGTATTTCTAAACATATATCATTTAATAGTATTTTTATTTAGGTACTAATTTAATCTCTTTATTTAATTCAATTTCATATATTCATTATAATTTTTTCATATAGCTCCATTATACTAACTCTCATAATAAATCATACCACTAGGTACTTGTCCAACTCATGTTTCCATTATGCATATACTGTTACCCATGTTTACCTAGTTCATATCACTTCTTATAAACTCACTTTCCTCATATTTTCCTATTATTACATATTTTATCTCATAACCATGTATCCACATAGTCTTATATTTCATTATCATATTACATATACTTGTTCTCCTATGACCCTTAATAAACATATATTTCTATTTCCCTACATCTCTCGACTTATCTTCTATATTCCTATAATTTCATAACTTATTTTATATCATTTTCCCTTTTTATTCACATAAACCATCTATTTATTTAGTTCAATTTCTCATGACTTCCACAATACTCTTTAATAAAACTTTGTAGCTCTTCACTATAATACATAAACCATAGTTTCCTTTAATTTATCAATCTTCCCTATATTACTTATGTATCCTTATTTATGCCTTCGAATTCATACTATTCTCTTAGAGTCTCCTAACGTTTCTCGTATAATCACTTATACCATATCATATAACTTATACTTGATTATCTTATTCTCTCATGTTCATTTCATTTCTTATGACTCTATCATATAACTTGTCTCATGTTCTTCCATTATTACATATTAAAGTCTTACATACATCATATAGAATATACAAAACATATCATTATCTTTAGTCATGCATACATACAATCAATGTAATACAGATAATCACATATAATTATAACCACACATAATCATGTCCATGACTTCATGCATATTACTCTAGGAAATAGACTCATCGCAAGTCTTATTTCCATTAAACACTACATATCACTAGTATGCACTCACCTGGCCTCACTAGTCAATTTCAATCTCTTATCTTTCCCTTGATCGATCTTACTTGCCAAATGTTCCGGAATTGCTTTACGCGCAGAATCTACATAAATGTACATTTTGAGGCAATCATTAGATACCTACACCTTGTAATTGGATACTAGCAACTTAAACGAACTTATTAAACCAATATTCACATTTTTCCTTTAGGGGGAATCGGTTCCCTACTAAGGGGGTATCGATTCCCTCATGACATTCTGGAAATTTTTGTTCGTTTGAAGGGGTATCGGTTCCCCTTGAATGGGTACCGATTCCCCTTGCCCATAAATCATATTTTTAACTCGAAAATTACTTCATTTCCTCTCAAACACTTCATATATCATCCCTTTTTCATTCTTAACTCTAGTACACATACTTAAACCAATCTATATTCATTTATTTCATCTTAAACCTCAAAATCCTATCTTCCATATGAGATTCAAGAATCATACCAAATTTTCAATGTGTTCTAATTCCAATTCTAACACTTCATACTTCTTAATTAGATTGATGACAAGTCAAATTCATCCTTAGAATTTCAAAAACCTTTCTATATCAAAAGTTCATTTCTAATCTTCTAATAGAAATTCCTTTCTAATTCTCTCTTCTTGATGTTTTAAGTTTATACAAGCTTTCCTTAAGCTTATATAACCCCCAAAGATTCAAAACCAACTTATAAATTCCAGAAATTAACAGTTAAAAATCAAACTTACCTTTAAGCTGGAGCTACGAGAAGAAGAAGAGAGTAAGAAGAAGGCTTCCAGAAATCTCCCAAAATCCACGTGTACAACTCTTATTTAAAGGAAACACAAAATATCCTTTAAGATGAAAAGACTAAATTACCCCTTTAATTATCCATCTATGCTATTTAATACATCATCAAAATTCTTTACTTAAATCCCAAAACTTTTAACTTATTTCAAAATTGAGCACAAAGTTTCCAAAATTTACATTTTAGTCACTGACCCGGCTTTTGGGATGTTACAAGCATGTCCAAACCGCATATGCCACAACTGGGTTGCGTCCAAATCATCACCTCCGGAAGCTGCTGCAACTGCTCCAATAATTGTATTACCTTGGTAGTAATACAAATTATTTTTCATGATGCCCTTCATCATCACAAGTGCGCCATATGTGACTTTTAAAACTCCATCTCTCATAGTGACTACTGAGCCTTTGGATTCCAAGGCTCCCAACGAGATGAGATTTTTCTTCAAACTGGGCACGTATCGGACATCCGTCAGAACTCTGGTTGATCCATCTTGATTCTTCAATCGAATTGAACCTATCCCAACAGTTTTACAGGCATTGTCATTGCCCATATAAACAACTCCTGCATTTAGTTCCACTAAATCGGATAACCACTCCCGATTAGGGGACATATGATAGGTGCAACCCGAATCTAATATCCACTCATCGGAATGGAATGTTGATGAAGCAACCAATGATATGTCAGAGCCATGTTCATCATGCTCTGCAACACATGCATCTGGAGCAGTTTTTCCTTTCTTCTTTAGCTTCGGACAATCTTTCTTCCAATGGCATTTCTCATGACAAAAGGCACATTCATCTTTTCTCAGTTTGGACTTCAACTTTGATGTCCCTCTCCACTTTGGCTTTTGACTTTTCGAGCGACCTCTTGCCACCATGGCCTCTGCTGCTTCATACTTGCTCTCCTTCTTGGTTTTCTTCCTGAGTTCATAACTATACAAAGCAACAATTATATCTTTAAGGGTAACATTATCCTTACCATGAAGTAACGTTGTCTCAAGGTGCTCAAATTCATCTGGAAGAGATGACAACAACATCAAAGCCAAATCTTCATCTTTGAAGGTTTCATCCATGCCCAATAAGTCTTCCACTAGCTCATTGAAAGCAGTGATGTGTTCATTCATATTGGTGTCTGGTTGATAATCAAATCTGAACAATCTTTTCTTCATGTGGAGACGATTCTGAGAGCTTTTCTTCAGGAATTTTTCCTCCAAAGCTTTCCACATCTTACTTGCAGAAGTCTCGTTATTGTAGTCATACTTCTGCTCTCTGGAAAGACAAGATCGAATCGTGCTGCACGCCAAACGATTGATTGTTCCTCATTCTTTCTCCTCTATATATTCGGGTTTTTCTTCCTCAATGGTGATGTCTAGACCTTGTTGGAATAAAGCGTCTAACACATCGCCTTGCCACATGCCAAAATGACCGGATCCATCGAACAACTCCACCGAGAAATTTACATTTGACATCACCCTCCTCACCGGTCCAGATGAAGAGCTTGATGTCTCAACTGATCCGTATTTTGGCATTTTAATTCTAACGAACAATATTCAATATCACGAACTGTATCTTTTCAGCAACGAAACCACCAAGATAACCTCAACCGAAGCTCTGATGCCAATTGTTGGGGAAAACGAGTTATTTCCCACACGAACGTAGTTTTAAAATTGACCTAAAATGTCAAAATTAAAACCACCAAAGGTTGCACAACGGATAAACCTGTCAAACTATTGAATATTGAAACATAATGGAAAAGAACCGAATAAAAACAATAAAGGAAAGAACACACCAAATTTACGATGTTCGACGAGAATATCGTCTACTCCTCGGGCACCACATCGGATGCTAACTTCACTATATCGCCAATATTAAAACAAATGGATTTCTTTAGAATTTCCAAAGTGTGAGAATGAAGAATACAAGAGGAAGAGATAACTTGTTTTGAGATGATTTCTAATGGAAATACTTATACCTATTTATAGTTGAGTTTTAAGAACAATATGTTCAAAGTTTGGTCACCTACCAGTGAATTTTTCAATATATACAAGTTAGCCACCAAATATAAAATTCACATGTTCAAAGTTTGGCCACCAACCAAGATGAAATTTCCAATAAGTTGACCACCAATCAAGATGAAATTTTTAACTTGTCAACTTAATTTCTAGACAAATCTAACAGATTTCATGTATTTAAGGTTCATGTTCGAGTTTGAATTTGATGCTTTAATTGAGTTAAGTTTAAGAATTTTTTTTTTCATTTCGAGATGCTTACAAGCTTCAGTTCAGGATTTCGAGTTCGAGTCGAGCTTGAAAATTTTAAGCTTGCAAGTTTTCGAGTCGAGTCGAGCTCTATTTCAAAGTTTTCGAATCGAGTCGAGCTCAGCAATACTCAAACTCGACTCGGCTCGTTTACACCCTAGTGAAAATAATGGAAGAATCACAAAAGAAAATGGCCGGCCAACATTTGTAGAAGAAGAAGTGGATCTTTGGGAATATGGAGGACCTAGGATTTCAAGAACAAAGCTCAGTGAGATCAGGTTACGGAGCCGGAACTGCAAGCCCTGACTCTGTTACATGCACTCTGGAAGCGAATTTCAGCCTCTTCTCTTCGGCTTCCGCTAGTGTTGATCGTTGCTCTTTTGCTTCTGATGCTCATGACCACGATTCTCTCGCTTCCGAAATATCTTTAGTAACTTCTCTATTTTTTGGACTTTTATTATCACTGATTTTCCGTGCGATAAGCATAGCAAGCTGTAACAGTGTACACTGTGATCGATCATTGCTGATAAACTTGCATGTTTTTTCCTTGCCCGATTTAAGTTTTTTTTTCTTTCAGTTTTCTGAAATGGATAAAGAAGTAAATATTTTTTTTCGAAATTGAAATGTGAATGTCTTTTGCAGCATTTGGCAGGAGAAGAAAGTGGAGATCAGAATGAGAGTTCGAGTGGATCAGATCCAGATCCAAACAAAGCTATAATAGTCCATAAGCACATTCGTCTCTCCAGAAAAGGAGAAAAAGTGAAGGGTACTTTCAATGTTTTCTTCACTATTTGCTTCTTTTGAAAAAAGTTAAAACTGGAATTGCATCAAAAAAGAAAACGAATAAGCCCAAAAAAACTCAAATTCACTCACACTCATTGTCATTGTCCGCCCCCTTCCCCTCTTCCCTTTTTCCCTTTCGCGATAATACGCAGTAAAACAGGAAGAAAAAGATGCAGCTCATACAAAGGACGAAACTCAACTCAGAGATTCAGCAAGAAACTCGTTCTCTCTAGCTCTTAAAGGTGGCCTTTAGTTATTTTTTAAAGTTGTGATTGCTTTAGCTTACTATATTTCGAAAAGTAATAATTGTGAATTGTATAAATTAGAGTGTCAGGATAGGAGGACTAGATCTCACGCTTTGCTGAAGAATCCTGATAGGCGAAGACCAGCTTCATTAGATCTCAATAATGTCTCTGGTTTGTATCCACGGTTGGGGGTTGTGAAGAAAACATCTGTTGTGACTCGGAAAATGGGTGCATTTCCTAGTCCTGGGACACCCAATTATCATCATTACTCGAGTGTTGGGATGCAGAAGGGTTGGAGTTCTGAGAGTGTGCCATTACACAACAATGGTGGGAGGCAGGGGAATGCTGCTGGGTTGTTGGCTTTTAACAATGGGAGGACTTTGCCTTCAAAATGGGAAGACGCTGAGAGGTGGATTTGTAGTCCTGTTTCTGGGGAAAATGGTGCAAGGCAATCTATTGTGGCTCCGCAGAGAAGACCAAAATCAAAGAGTGGTCCACTTGGTCCTCCAGGGATTGCTTACTATTCGCTGTACTCTCCTGCGTTGCAAATGTTTGATGGGGAACATATGGGAAATTTCATGGCTGGTTCTCCTTCTTCTGCTGGCGTAATTGCAGCTGATGGTTTGACAACTCATTCTCGTAACCATGATGGAGAATTTACTGCACGGACCGAGCCTTGCATGGCCCGTTCTGTTAGCATGCATGGATGCTCTGAGGTAGCAAACCCACCATTTTTATCTTCTCAAGGTAAATCCCGATCGTTATCTAGCGAAATTTCTGGGTTAGATGTTATTATCAGCTTTGGCGTACATCAATTATCCCCCTATGATGAGTGCCCTTTTAATTTTATGAGATCCAGTATGGAAGTTTCTCTCAATTTTTATTGTCTTGTCATCCAAATTGATAATATCATTAAGACTATATTTGATGCATCATGTATAAATTGGAAATTGTCATTTGGTCATCAATTTAAAGCCCTTGTTAATACATCTTAAATTTGTTTATCATTACTAAGTACACACTTCTTGGTATAGGAACCTGTTTAAATATTACTTAATTTAGAAGTACAGGCTGGTGGACATGAACAAAGTAGGTTTTGATTTCTCTACATTGGCCAAGTTTATGAAACTGATGTATCTTTTTTTTCTTAATATCATAATCCATGAAATATCAATATAAATATTTGCTGAATCTAACCTTGATCTTGATACGTTTTCATCATCATAGTATTTACTATGACTTTTGTACTTCATAAGTCATCTTTCCAATTGTTTTTTTTTTACACCAAAGATGCAGAAGAAAATATTGATGTCATCAAGTATGCAAGCACTGATATTTCTCGAACTGTCTCAAGAAGAGACATGGCTACCCAAATGAGCCCACAGAGTAGTACCTACTCATCTCCCAAAGGAACGCCTTCTTTCTCTACCTCCTCCCTATCAGCTCTGCCTATCACGGAAATGCCGAACATCCATTCCTCTAAATCAGAACTGAGAAATGTGCCGGTAGATGAAAGAGCCACCATGACTAGGTGGTCAAAGAAGCATAGAGCTAGAAAAACAGGGAAGAGCTCAGAAATTGTTGATGATTGGAGAAAGAAAGCTGTTGATACTTGTACATCAACATGGGAAGTGACAGAGGCAGGAAAGAACATTTCCAAGTATGTCTACTTTACTACATTGCCTCTATTTCTTTCCTAAGATTATGGATTTGATAGATCTTGCCTACAAAACTTCATTGAACTTGCCATTTTAAATAAGTACTAACCTAGTTGGGTGTAAAGTTTTTCTGAAACGTTCATGTCATCTTCAGCCTTCAAGTGATTAATATGAGAGGACATTGATTTTTGTTACATCATAATCACATGCCAATTTCTTTCTTCCTCTTTTGCAGGATCAAAAGAGAAGAAGCCAAAATCACTGCCTGGGAAAATCTGCTGAAGGCAAAAGCTGAGGCAGCCATAAGGAAACTAGAGGTTTCTTTTCTCCTGAATACTTCTGCATTAATAACCGAAGTAATATAAATAGATATTAAGTAAATGATTAACCTTGATAGAGAAAAACTAAAATCATCCAGCTTATTTATTTTCTTCGTTATCACTGATATGACGTTGTATTTCAGATGAAGCTAGAAAAAAAGAGATCGTCATCGATGGATAAGATAATGAATAATCTAAGATCAACTCAGAAGAGGGCACAAGAAATGAGAAGTTCGATGCTGACCAACCAGGCCCAACAAGCAAAGACCTCGCATATGGCTTTATCTTTCCGGAGAACCCGCCAGATGGGTTTATTGAGTGGTTGTTTCACCTGCCATGCTTTTTAGTGCCTTAGCAATCTGTTACTAGTTCAATCAAACCAGAAATGCCGGGTATTTTCTACTTGCAAGGGTGATTTGTTTTCGTTTTTTCCTTTTTAAATAATAACAATAAAAACATGGGATTCTGATAAATGGATTGCATGACTGGTTAAGGGATGCTTCTTTTCTCTTACCAGTTTGAAGAACAAGGTTCACCGGAGATGATGAATATTGTACAGGAAGCAAACTATTTCTCCGACACCATTTCGTGTCGCTACAGTTTTGATTGAATGAAGCACTGCTACCTCCATCAGAATTCCCAATCAGTGCAAGACCCAAATTGCCATGTCCTGGGACTTCCATCCACGGTTTCTGACTAATACAATCATATTTGCACGTTTGTATGGAAATCAACCTTTCAAGTATTTATCGTGTATGTCTTATATGACAGTTTGCCATGGAAATGGAGATATCATTTAAGTTTTTACTTTATTATCTCACTAGTAATAGTAGTGATGTGGTGAGATAGATTCATTGGAAGTTTGTGTCTGTTTGGATCTATATGATCTGATTTCTGCATTTAAAAATATATCCTTGTAATTCAGCTCTGCTAATAATGTGCTATGTGAGTGTCCATCATCTTTGCCAATATCTCTCAAGTTCGTGTCTGTGTACTGGGTCTTGAAGCCGAGGATCCCAATTGGGTAGGATTGGCATAATCTTGATGGTGGAATGAACATATAGTTAATTAAACTTGGCTTTCTTGATTTTGGGGCAGAGTAATTTGGAACCCATGTGGCAAATGGGCTTCGAATCTGTTTCGGTTACAAAACTCTGTATCCCCTTTCTACTACCTTCTATCTCAGACTAGCTTTTGCTAGTGGGAAAAAAATTGGATGACACAGTTTACCAAATGACAGTACATGCATCACATAAAAATTCTTAAAAGAGTAATTTCTAGTTATGTATGATGTATCATAATTATCAATATGAAAAATAGACATTAAAACCAAGTTAAATACAATGGATGTATAACATTTGGACCACAGTGTTGTTATTGTCGAGTCGATAAACACCAAGAACAAGGTGTTCCAATGTAGTTGACGCACGTTCTTTTCTGGTATCGGTCCTTGATTTCTCACGGTGTCAAAGCCCATTTGAATAAAATCTCTCCAAGCATTGAAGTTCTGCTTTCACGTTTCCGTAAAATAGAATCGGAACAATATTTTCCATGAATACATCCCTCCCCTCGAAAAAGGACAAACATGAGAAAAGAACACTGTCCCAATAGATTAGGTTTATGTCCTTGTTCCACCGGGTCGGGGGAGGGACCCCTTTCTTTTTCCACTAAAATCTAACCCGACCAACCAACAAACATGTTTTAATGTTTTGTTTTTGTAGCACAATGGTCAATTTTCTCTTTCCGGGTATATTAGACTCGCAACATTCATTTTATATCTCCTTGGGCTCCTGGGTTTGTAACCATAGTCGTTTTATATTTTGTGTCATTTTCAATCAAGGTTATATAGATAGTTATGTTCACGTTTTCATGTTTGGTGTAAGTAATAAGTAGAGATAAAGCCGAGACGGGTCATTTTGCATGAAAGTTTAGTAACAGAGAGTTGGTCATAACGAGAGAGATTGTACTTTTCTTTGTTGGAAGTAGAAAGGGATAAAACAATCTTTACTTAAAAATTTAAAATTATCATATATTTACGATCATAGCTTACCTTTTAAAATTGAGATAAAATAAATTTTATTTGAATTTACGAAAAAGAAAACATTTATCTCAATAGAAAAATAATATCCAATCAAACAAAAATTAGAATTTAAAATTCTCTTAATACAGTTCACTTAATTCATTGAATAATTTTAAGAGTCGAATGTTTAATACAATTAAAATATCTCATTACACGAATTAAATTACCTCAGTAATTAAATAAATATTTGTTGTTTTTAAAAGATTCGAGTTTGAGCATCAATGACTAAAGAAAGGGTAATTGAACATTCATTATCAAATAGATATAATAAAAAATCTCATTCCAGTCGTCGTCCGATAAGATTTTGAGGATATTAAAAGCATGTCTTGAGAAATAGTGTGCAGCGAGGGATGGATGGGTTAGCCATAAACACGAATGGAGCTCCCTTCGCGCCTAAGGACCCGACTCCTGTTAAAATTTATATATTCAATATAATTTTGGTTTAATAGTATTTTAGTTCATGTAAAAATAAATATTTAAATTTAAAAAATAAAAAATTATTAAATATTTAATCAAGTAGGGTTCGAACTAAAGAATGATAAGTTTGTGTTCTCAAATTTTTGGTCTAATTATAATTTAAGTCCTTGCAAGTTTAAATATTAGACAAATTAGAAGTTGTATTTTGAGTTTTGAGTTTTTTTTTTTAAATTAGGGTAAATACAAGGTAATATCTGTACAAAGACTTACAATTATTTGACAATGAACGTTCATACCCCTACATACATACTTGAACTCGGGACCTCAAGAATAACAACGATCCCTTAATCACTAAAATCGCTTAGTTCATACTGAATGTCGAGTTTAAATACTTGGTAGGTCTTTAGATTTTTCTTAAATAATCTAATATTTCAATTCATGCTAATATTTAATTTTGGCTGGCCATAAATGGAGAGGACAAGGGGGCTCCCTTTTGCGCAAACCCACTCGTCCCTCTATGTGCTCATGTTGGACCCTTTGTGGGATATCTCACATGGGTTCTCTGATAACATCTTTGACCATTTTTTTAATTTGGTTTTTGGGTATTTTTCATGTTATCGAATGGAATTCTCTTTTGAGAAACAAGAGATTTTTGAGTGCGTGGAGAATGGGAGAGGGGGTGGTGGTCCAAAATTCTAAATAAATGTTCATTTAAACTCTTAAATATATTCGTGTTTACGAGGGAAGACAAGCCCAATCCAGGACAAAGTTAACATACTTTCTCTTTGATGGCTACTAAGGGCTCACATCGAAAAAATGACGTTTTAGTTCTTTGAACCTTTCCCAGTTTTTTCAACATATCATAATTCACATGAAAAAAGATGTCTACCCTACCATGAAAATGCTTTGTTTTCCCAGTTTTTATTATATAAATAGTCACTTTCCAAGACGTTTATCCTTCAAATATAAATTTATCATTAGAAATTTTTAATGGTTAAAAGTGAAATTAAATTTTATTACTTATCACTCTATATAGTTAGATGAAATATTAGATCTTTAACTAAAATTATGGTTTAAACACGAAAATTGTGAATAGAAAAAAGGCAGCGTAAGAGAGTTACACGCATTTACAATATTCAATTTGAACTAATTTGTTAATAGATTACATTATAAAAATATAAATATAAATTATATAAACAACAGCTGAATATGAAATTTTCTGTAGAGAAAAAGAAAGTAGGTAATGGGAGGATGAAAACTATGACAATAATAACGGCTGCCGTAATTGGATGCAACTATCAAGGACATATTATTCATAGATGATGTTCTGGTGGTTGTTTATATCTGGGATCTATTAGGCCTAAAGCCGAGGGGTATAAGCTGGTATGGTGTCGGCTTATGATAGCTTGGATGACATCTTCTGCAATTGCAAGTATGCTAAACTCAGAGGCAGGTTTTGAGAATTGAAGGAAATCTCCAATATTCATGGAGATCAAAGAGATAGTTAGAGTGAAACTTTATAACCTCCATAGAATTAAAAGCTTTGTATATAAGCAAAAATTAAGGGGGAGGGGGGGTAGAGAGGTGAGTTTGTTCACGTGAACAGTTGCTGAAGGAAAACGACGTCATCGAATTGCCACATTGCTATTCTCCACCGCTTTGTCAGTCTTCACGTGGATTTCCCCATGCATTTCTCTCTCCCAACTTCACCTTCGTTCCCACCCTATTTGCCTCCTTCAATCCACACCTCTCATGCGCTCGTAATAGCTAAAATGAAAACTCTATTCATCTAATACCAACTTCTGATTAATTCTTTCAACGCTTGGCCTGTCTTATACAACAACACGGTATGGAGTCATTTAAATTACTTCTCCATGATTTTTACTCCGTTTTATTTAATCATTATTTTTACACATCCAATTAAGTCTACTATTACAATCTTCTTTTGTTAAGCTACTAGCTTAGCCAAGCATCTCCAGATTGCTGATGGTTTTGAGTAGGCTGTTATGGTTTTCCCATTGGATGAAAACTCCCAACTGGGAACCCTAAACCGGTTGGCCTGCTTGTGCCAGCTCTCTCCAGCGACTGCACCTGAGTCTTCAAAAACTTGACATAGTGAATAGCCTCATCTAACATAGACGCAGTGTCCATTTTGGTTCCTCCGGGGACCAGTCTCTGAAGTATCCTTATCCTCTCGCTTATCCTCTCCCGTCGGTGCCTCGCCGCCACACTCTGAGGGTCCTTTGATATCTTCACGTTCCTCCTCTTAGGTGGCTTGACTGATTCAGGGTCTATATGAATCGGTTGCATAGCTGCTATCCGGAATATCATCTCCCTCATTGCAGCCACTGAGTTCTTATTTTGGTGAGATGTGGAGTGAGCATTTGCACCTGTACCAAACAATGGTTCCACTGCTGGGGTAAACGAGAAACCTGGACCTCCTTCTGGGGTTGGACCATTGAATGAAATTGTGGCTGTGGCTGTGGCTGGCAGGGTTATCAATTGGCCGGGTAAAAAACCGACCTGTGGGTTCCCAACAAAATGCGGCATGCCAGTGATGCTATTACTGCAGGTACTATTGCTAGAGTGATCAGCAAGCTCAGTTTGAGGGAATTCAACGACGTCGTTATAGGCCCCGTAGAGTTGAGGGAACTTTTCCATCTGCATCTGCATCTGCATCATCATCACCATGTCCATCTGATCTTCTGTTGCAGGCTTTAACTGGTCAACTTCCATGGCTATTGTTACAGAGCTGTGCCTGTGTGGAATCTGATAAACAAAGCGATGGAGAAGAGGGGGAGTTTATCTCAATCCGCAGAGAAGGGATGAGAAGAATGCGAAACTACAAGAACGAGAGAAGAAATGTAAAGGAAAAATAAATAATAAAATAGTAATATATCTGGAACAGGGCTTGGGGATAGATGACTATATATATAGGGGTGACAACAGGACGGGGCGGGATGGTTTCGTATTACTCAATCCGTCCCCAATAATTACGGGTACGTTTTTTAAAATCCTCATGTTTTGGGATTTTTTTTATCCTTATGCCCATCCCTTATAAATTCGGGTTTTTGATTAATATTCATCTATCACTTAATGTATATATATAATTTTAATTATTTTCAATCACAACAAATCAATGTATATTAAATGAGAAAAGATCTAAAACTTCAATTTTAGTTCATTTGAGATATAATAGTGGCAATACATAATCTCGCAATCTTATCATATATAATTTTTAATTAAAATATATATTAAGGGTATATAGGTAAATGATTAAAAATATATTTTTAAAATTTTGTAAAATGTCAGGGATTTCTACAGATATTTTTCAGGGATCTCCACGGTTATTTACACGAATACGGTTCGGGAATAGCAATCCCCGTCCCCATCACCATTTGAGCTTCGGGGATAAAACTTCTCCCATCCCCATCCATGTGGGTGAATATTTCGTTTATTCTCCATCCCGTCGGTTCGAATCCTCACTGTTTTTAGTTTTTTCCCACATGATTGTCACCCCTAACTATATAAAGTGGTTGAATATTATATATAAAAATAATTTCTACTATAAAATATATTAATTATATTAAAGAAATTTCACAAAGTTGTTGGGAGGGTTTTTGTTCGTTTTCATTTACTTTGGAACAATATGATTGCATGCTTAGAGGTGGAGATGGAGGATTCTTTTCACGATTGCAACATGAGGCATTATACCTTTCCATATAAGACTATTTCTTGTCATTTTCATGCCAAAATCTGGATATAATCAGTGCATGTTATAATGTGTTGGTTGTGCTATAATGATAAAATCCAACCTCCATTTTGTCGGAACTTGTTTCGAAGTCTACAAATTTGAGATTGAAAGTGAGGATTTTGAAACATTTTCCCATGAAACAAGTACCAGATTCAAACTCAGGGAGTCGAGACAAACCAACCCAGGAAATTTGAGACCACCCTCAACGACGGTGGTTGGTGGTTAGAATGAAAATGACGTGGTGGCCTATGGAGAGAAAATGAAGAATAGAAGGAAAAAAGGTTAAATTACACAATTCTCTACTGAACTTTACTCTCTCTCTTATTTTACTCAACATACTTTCAATATAGGATCCAACGACGTTGTTTCGGCGTATATTTGAGTTTTTCAAAACAACGTCGTTTTAATGCTTGTTCCATGTCATAACACCGTTAATTATTTAACGACAGAGTTAGTAAAATGATTTAGTTTGTAAATTTTAGTAAACAAATTGAAAGTTTATTCTATTTATAATTTATCATATGAATTTGATTTATATTATGTTCTTTTATTGTTGGGCCAGAAAATTTAAAGAGTTAAAAAAACATAGGCCAACAATTACATCTTCTGATCTTCAACCTTGGCTTAGAAGCTATTGAAGTCTTTCTGATAGTCTATGCGGACGGGTTAACTGGAAATACGAACATCTTTTACTGGATAAAAGAAATTCTAAAAATATCAATGCACCTTTAAGGTACGACAAAAATGGGAAAGGCTGTTTTTCTTCAGGTTTGGTGGGGATGCGTACACCTTTCTCTGCACAGACTAAACCGCTTTTTCCCTACCAAGTTGATAACATTTTTTATTCATCAACAACAAAAAATAAGAAAATTCCAAAATCTTCCATCAAACCCAGATTTGAAATCAATGGAAAGGCAATAATGTGGAAATCGCAGACAAGAAAATTTAAGTTTACACCCTCTTTGAATTTAATGTTGCAGGGGCTTCTGGTTGCTTGCAGGCTACGGACTAGTGTGAATTTCTTCTCAAATTTTAACACGGGGGAGAATTTCGATTTGTTTTTATTGTATTTTAGTTTTCAAATTCTGATCTGCCGAACACACAAACACAATGACATATTTATGTAGACATCGACAAGGAGTGATTAACTTTCCAACAAACGACAAAGCCTTGATTTTGCCATTTTTGCAAGAGACAAACACAGTAAATTAATTGCCCTGGTTGCAGGTTAGTTAATTTTCTGTATGGCAAAGGATATAAATTTCTGAACAATGGTTATTTGACAGCTATCCCATGCACGTAATTTACAGATATTGAAAAAATATTTGAATATCTAAGCAGTTTTGGTGGGATTATATCTCTCTTGCATCACATTCTTCGGATTTCGACAGTTTAATACGTTGATGATTTCAAAATCCCAGAATTGAGGGTTTAAGATGGCCTTTGTGAAGAGAAAAAGTGAGGTTTTGCCCATTATTCTTTTGTCTGGTGCAACAACACCAGCAATGCAGAGCAGAAAAAGGTCTTTAGATCATCCTGATTCCAAAGCAACTGACAGATTAAACAGAAGGAAGAGACAGTAAAAAACACACGTTTCTTCTCTCTGTAAGTAAACTTTGTTGTAATGATTACAAATGGAGGTGTTTGTTGAAATATCTTATAATTGACAGGGACGTGAGCAAAGAGACATGTTCTCTGCAAGAAGATGGTCGATAGGATAAAAAGAAGCAAGATATTGTTGTTTGTTGGGTTGGTTTCTTTTACTTTGCGTTATCACAGTTGCACCACCGTATCTTCTCATCCCCACACCCCATTTATATTAATGCTTTCATTTTCCTCTATATCTTCATATAATGTCCTAACTCAGAAACCAGGGCTTCAATTATAGTTTATTATTATTATTATTATTTTAGTTCATTGTCGGTTTAATCGTTAACGTTTGTATAACTAATTATTATCTAATAAATGCATGATATGTAGTCTCTAACATCTTTAAATCTCTAATTTTCAAATATAACAAACAAAACCATTATTACTATTATTATATTCATAATAATTCTTACTTCTTGCCACTTCCTTCATTCTCTTCGGGAACAGCAGGCTCAGAGATAACTAATGAAAGAAAATATAACGTTACTTTATTCGAAAATGGTTCCACCTCTTTTCTCTCTGCATGATTTTCAACATTTTCAAGTTGCCCAATTGCACAAAACAGACAGTAAGTAAGCATCTATACGACTGTTTTATTTTTCTCCAACTTATTGTTCCAAGTTCCAACCTCCCATTTTTCATAACTCATTGCAAGAGTAAAAGGATTGGGGGTAAAAGTTTGTCCCTTTGTGAGCCAAAGGAGAATAGTAAGCAGCGGAAGAACTGAGAAGAGTGAGCTTTAATTTCACTTCAGAATTAGTCTTCAAACAAGTGGATTAAAGGGTCTAGAAGCCTCAGAACATTATTGAGAAGTGGTTGGTGGACACTTCCATTATTAAGGGGCAAAAAGCTATGGAATTATATTAAGTATAATATTGGCATCTTCTAATGATGTATGCCATGCCACCACAGCTGGACCCATCAAAATGCTGGGTTTGATTCCCACAGGCCTACCACTTGAATCTGATACAACCAAATCTGCAATTACAGGATTTCTTCTCAGAACATGTTACATGAATTAATAATTTCTTGAGGGGCTAACTAAATCTTGCAATGTTGAAATCCAACTTCGTTTGAATATATCTTATTAGATCCAGCATTTGAATGTTTATGATGCAGGCCTGCATGGTTTCCCTTGGATGTGATTACATAGCAGAAACATCACTCATTAAAGTGAACAATTTGCATCTGTCATGAATCCTCATAATCTTTCTAGAATATGTTCCTAAATTATGGCACAAAAAATTGCTATGGATTTCTTGTTTGTAATTGATACAAATGGAAATTTTACACGTGCTTATCATAAGCTAGCAAGATGTTACTAGATGAAACTAATTCTCAAATGAAACCTAGAAATGAGAGGGTTGGGAAAATAAGTCAAAGAACTAGAGCCTTGAAGGGGTTAATACCTCTCTTAGGATCATAACAGGAAAACAATCTCAGAGTTGGTTCTCTTCAGACCCTCCCAGTTGTTCTCCATCTAAGAGATCATTGATGCAGGTTGTCATAAACGTTTTTCAATTGCTGAACCCCATGTCTAGTTCTTTTGCCATCAAGCCTCAATCTCTTCACTTCTATTTCAGTTGCAGCAGAAGAGCCTTGTTGCTGAGAATAAAGGGGGAACAAGAGTTTAGACAAAGGTGTTGATTTGCTGGAATATAAAATACATACGGTAAATATTTAGAAGACATAAAAGCAAAGAAAACTACAAAGAAGGTTCGCTTGCTGGCGATAATAATTGGAGTTGAAACCACAATAATTACATTATTTTGGCCCATAATTAAGTATGAGATAAGCTTTAAAGTGAACCTGAAGCTCTTTAATGTGGTCTCAATTATCTGAGAACCGAGGTAAGAGGATAGGCCGTTTGTAGCTGGGAGAGTAAGGACAGCCTAATTGTCCATATCTTCATCAGATGAATTTGCATATTTTTCTTGTGGAGGTGGTGATTCTTGCCTTCTCGAGGAAGCTTGTCCTTTTGGTCTTGCCTGATCAAGATGGAGTGGCCGTCTAATAATGAGAAGATCGTTCAAAGGGCTGAATATGATTCAACACCAGTTAAATGTTTTGGAAGTACATAATAAAGAATATCACACACAAAAAATAGTAGGAAAAAGGAAAAGGAAAGGCACACCAAATTGACAAAGTTGATAACACTCTTGTGGATACTGATCCTGCTTTACCCTCTCCAATTGACAAAGAAGATAGCACTCATGAGTATACTAAAAGAGGTAGAGGTAGGTCTCCCAAGGATAAATCCAAAACATCCTTAACTACTTCAACTAATAGATTCGATATTCTTAGTGTTGTTGATGAAAACATCCCCACTCATGAAGGCCAATCTAGAAAGCCTCAATCTTCCTCTTTAGGAGTGTATGCTTTAGTCCATGAACTAAAATCCAAAAAGAAAGATAAAACAGGGATTGCCAAAAATAGTGTAGCAGTTTGTA